GAAGAAGTTGGGCTTGAGCTTGCAGCTCGTGCTGAATCCCGGCAAGTGTAGCGGGCACATGGACACATTTCCCACAGTGACGTCTCAATGGCCTTGGTCAAGCTCCAGTAATCCACTGAGGAGGACATGTGCATCGTCGTTGCAAGACCACCTTGGAGAATGTATCTCATTTCATCGCGAGTCCAGCAGACCTGGTCGACTGAAGTGTCGCGGAGGCCGTGGGGAATTTCGACTTCACGAGCAGTGACAAGAAGCTGCGCAACGGCATCGAGAGGAAGCTCGGTTTGAGCTTCATTTTCCCGAGTGATATCTCCATGGCCTTGGATGAGCTCCAGGAATCCACTGAGGAGGACACTTGCACCTTGGAGAATGTAGCTCACTTCAAAGACATTTCCATCGCGAATGCAGCAGTCCTGGTCGACTGAAGTGTAGCCGAGGCCGTCGGGAATTTCGATTAAGTTCGGTTTGAGCTTCAAGCTCGCGCTGAATCCCGGCACGCGAAGCATGCGCATGGAGACATTTCTCCCTGTGACGTCTCAATGGCCTTGGATGAGCTCACGTAATCCACTGAGGATGGCACCGTCGTTGCCAAGACCACCTTTGGGGAATGTAGCTGACTTCATCGCGAGTCCAGCGGACCTGGTCGCCTAAAGTGTGGCCGAGGCCGTCGGGAAGTTCGAAAAGACGTGCGGTGACAAGAAGCTGCGCAAGGGCATCGTGAGTTCGGTTTGAGCTTCAAGCTCGTGCTGAATCCCGGCACATGAAGCATGCGCATGGAGACATTTCCCCCAGTGATGTCTCAAGGGCCTTGGATGAGCTCCAGTAATCCACTGAGGAGGACACTTGCATCGTCGTTCCCAAGACCACCTTGGAGATTGTAGCTGACTTCATCGCGAGTCCAGCGGACCTGGTCGACTGAAGTGTGGCCGAGGCCGTCGGGAAGTTCGAAAAGACGTGCGGTGACAAGAAGCTGCGCAACGGAAGCGAGAAGAAGTTCGGTTTGAGCTTCTTTTCCTCAGTGATGTCTCAATAGCCTTGGACGAGCTCCCACGACACACATGCTTCCGAAAAAGCAGCATGAGTCGATCGACATGGTAGTCACTAGTTTTTCCAGTGATTCAGCGTGACTTGTAATACCATCAGGAACAGCAATAAGGAGACATGTGTTGAAGGCGGCAATATTATTTGAAGATGCTCGCGATGCCAGAAGCCCTGTGATTTTGGCAACACCTTGCATGGTGCACACATCGCAGCCTCTTTTAGCCAGCAGGGGCGGGGGCATCAAGATTTGAAAGCTCTTGCCCGGGTCTCAGGTCATGGTGGTTTCGGAGTCATGGCTGTTGGCTTTGGGTTCAAGTCTTAATGAGACTTGGGGTTTCAGATGCAGGAATCCCTAACCCGTTCGTCTCGTAATCTTCAGACCTCGTCGCACCAGCTCACCAGGGCGCGCTGACATCGTCGTCTTGTCAGGAACCGTCACCCTCGCCCGAGGAACGAGGCGGAAAGGCCCCAACTCTTGCTGTGAAAACCGGCCGGAGTGCACCGGACATTTGCAACACGTGTCGATGCATCGTGCTTTTTCGTGTACAGCTCATCTCGTTCCTCCTGTATGGTTCTGGAGACAGTATGAGAGTTTGCACCCTCCATAATATGAAACCAGAATCCGCAACCAAGTCTGAGGTTACGCCCAGGCCCTTAGCGAGGCGTCCTGGCATGTTGCGCCTTTACCCTAAAACAAAAGCCCCGAAGCCCTGAATGCTCGATGGATAAGGGCAGTCAATCGGGTACATGGAGCAATTTATTCAGTGAGTCAGGCTAGCCTACAAATCTGAATCTGGCAAATCCAGATTGTACAAAGCCTCTCGCAAATCCGAAGTTGGCATATTGAAGCAACACCCTGACTGTATCAGGAATCTTGGCTAGGAGACGCCTCTGGTTCTTTTCATCTATCTTAGACTACCAAAACCTACTTTTTGTAGGTCCTTATGAGTCCTTATCAGAAACCTTCGTATATAATTTTTCAAAATACAGGTAAGGGTTCAGATGGGCTCCAGTCCAAGGCCTATGTTCAGAGGTGGATCGGAGTCATGCGACAGTTGAGCCACAGGGTAGTATTGTTCGGAATCAAAACGGCAAAATCCGGGAGCATCTGTAATTTTTCGAAGTCCGCGGAACATGTTTCTTAATTCCCGTAGACCTTACAGGCATGATTCGAATATTTCGATCTGTAAAAGGAAATGGCCCAAAACTATCAGCGCTGGAGGCTTTCCCCACTCCACGCAGGGGCCTTGGTTTGTCAGGAACTCGGATGGTTGCTGTCTTGATCGGCCAGCCTACCAGTACTTTTGTGGAGCTGACATCGGTGTACTATAGTTCACTATTTGCGGTTCTTGACGTTTTGCAAACGATAGATTTGCCAGGCTCAGGGGAATTAGGGCGACCCATGTCACCGTGCATTTTGTTGTCACGTAGAGATGCCCTCTACACCAACAGTGGCACCAGACTTCGTTCATGATGCGCTGCAATGGTTCGCCAGCTTGTTTTGGGGCTGGGCTCACTTGCGCGGGGCCTTCCATCTGCTGTACATAAGTCGGCTCCAACACAATATCCTCTTTGGATAGGGTTCCATGCCAACTGCAATCTCAATGGCTACACGCGGATCCCAAACAAGCCGAAGATTCTGTGCTGTGTGCCAGTGACATCGCTAATGTTTGGAGGTATTGCGGAACGATGCGGCATGTGCTTCAGTGGCTAGCCTTGGGGACGAAATCCGCATAAGTATCCGGCTGGTAGTCTCGCCCCGTGTCGAAACGACTGTGCTGCCCCTATACAACTGTAGCCAAAAGTATGAGTTTCGCAGTGGCCAGGACCTCTGTGACCACTGGGAGATGCCCTGAACCGAGGCTGCTCCCAAGAGCTTGGCGACCCCATGGCGAGGCAAAGGACAAGCAACACGTGTTCCAAGACCAAACTTTGCACGAACTCTGCTGCAATTGCAGTTCATCCAATGCCGTGTGCGAGCTGAACCTTGAGGGGCTGCGTGCTTGGACACTTGTCGAACGACCATGTTGCTTTCTAGCGTCGAGTGACAGAGCAGAGTGAATGCGCAGAGGCCTGAGACCTGCACATTCGAAGCGGAGCCCTGCTTGCCTGAGGCTGCAGCGTCTCACAGTGTGGAGTCATCATCATTGTGTCCATATCCGCAGACCTCACCTTTCAGGTAACTTCTTCGAAAGAGCAATGCCACCAGCAACTTGAAGCCAACATCCTAAAGATGCCCTTTATGTTCTTAGGATTTTGTCATCATACCAAAAAGGGCGAGGGTTAGTACTACCGTTTTGTTTATGATGGTTCTAGGGGCTATTATGGAAAGAACCCGGATGGTGCAGGAGGTGCAGACCGTCGATGCAGCGGGCATCGATCAGAAGCTCGCAGCGAAGATCGAGGCCAGGCTCAGGGTCCGGGTACTTGTTTTGAGGGATTTGTTGTAGGTTACCATAATTGGGAACCGTGTCTCTCTTCAGCAAGCCCCTTTGGCACTCTCGCTTATCTCAGCTGCAGGCGATCGAAGACATCTCTGACATGATCGAAGAGCCAGCTAAGGCCAATGCTCCGGGCGCTAGCAACGCCAGAATGCACAACTATATTGTGGCTTTAAGTATTGACTTTAACTTGCAGTCTCGTTGCTAGCAAGTCGTGAATCCTTGCATATGCAACAGCGCGCAGCGCAGCAGATGGGCAAGACGCTCACAAAACCCCTATAGCTCAAATCCGATGGACAGGCCAACTCGTTGGGAGACTGGTGCGGGCCTCGAGCCGCACATTTCGATTCCGCAATCTTCTGTCCGGTGCTCGTGCTCTGTTTTCGTTTGGAGCTGTTCATGGAGCTGGCCCTGAAAGAGGCTTATCTCGTTTCTGTCGGTCTCACAAACGGGTTGATAAAAGTTGAGGATCGTCCGGTCCTTCTGTGCCTGTGCAAGGAGTTCCTTTTTCTACAGGCCCTCCCTTCTGGGACACCAGACGTTGTATTACGAGTTTTGACACCTATGCCTGTATGACTTTTGGTACTGATGTTACGTTTGTTGTGAGTAGTACTCCACACACCCTCGTTGTATGACAGCAACACAAGTCAAAGCTGAGACGGCTCAGGATGATCTGGATGGTGCACCGCGCGCACCTGGATGACCGAAGCATGTCATTCATGCAGATATGGCATTCTGAGTTGTGAACAGCCCGGTTGGTGGCCGTGGCGTTTGGCCCACGGAAAGCTGTGAGCTTTGTGCAGGATCCCACTTTGACCGATTTCGATTTCAGCAACCTTCACATGCCGCACGGGGACCTTGAGGCCCGCCAAGTTCGAGGCAACAGCGGCTTTGAAAGTCTTAGTGACTCCTAGTAGCTTGACAGGAGCGGATAGCGCCAAAGCTGGCGAAGGTCTGGAAGCATCTGTCGCTTTGTGGATGTACCGCAAGATGGTTTCTACGGAGTGTCGTTGCAGACATGTGTCATGTGCAGACGAGAAGATGGCAGGCGATGGCATGGAACACCAACATTCAGACCTTGTCGCTGGTGAACTCCAACTTGCAGAAGGACCCTTCTCAGCAAGTCATTGTTCACTTGCAGTAAGCCAGTGTTACGCAAAGGCTGAAGGTGTCGTGCTGGCACAAGCTTTGAGAACGAGATTTGGCTGCAAGGTAGACGGGCCACCAGGGTTCGCCGAGTCCCACCGGCAGAGAAAGATCATTCTACAAGCTCAGGAACAAGACCTTGCTGCACCTCGACCTCGAGTGCTGGCCCAAGTTGGTCCTAAGCTCTAAACCGTAGACGGTGCCATTTATGACCGACCGCTTGCTGAGGAATAACTGCTTGGATTCTGCCTCCGTCAAAGACTTGGTCGCGGCCTGATCATGCATGACCTTGTCCGGCAAAAGCTGTACAAGATCGAGTCGAAGTTGGTTTGTGCACGTTTGTGCAATGTGAGAGCTCAGGCCACCAATCTTATGGAAAATCCAAGCAGGAGCCGCGCAGTTGTGTGAAGTCTCGTGGTCAGCATGCATGTCCTCTGCGCCAGTAAAATCCAGACGTTGCGTGTGGCGCAGCAGAAGCAGGTGGGCAACTCCTTTGGCAGGTGGGCGAGAAGAATCCACCGAAATGGGACATGCACGGATCGCCATCCACGCAGGCCGGTGGAAGAGGCGTTTGGCCGCTTGCTGGAGAAGAACGAAGCCATCCTCAGGCACAGCAAGGCGCCATCTGATACAACCCGCAGTAAATGCACGAAGAGGCTGGGCTTCTTTTGCAGCGATGCGCAATTGCGCGACCAGATCGACCGGGACCATGCCTCAGCTGCATGTACGACATCGCAGCGTTAAGAGATGGAGAGAGAGGGAGACTGAAGTGGAGAGCCTTGCTGGGAGGCCGTGCTGCGCAACAACAACCTTGCCAGGCTCTCCAAGGCCATGTTCATAATCATGTAGGTGACGGTGACTATGGTTCACCCATCACTTGCATTTACCTTCGTGCGGACACCAAACAGCCTGCAGTCGTACTGTACTACTTGGGAGCCCGCCAACTGCAGGATCTTCTCGAAGACAGCGACGAGGAGGCCGTACTCCAGGCTCTGTCCAAGTTCATTCTTGGCCGACCAAACAGCCTGCAGTCATACTGTACACTTTGGAGAGAAGGACTCAAGCATATAGTTCTCATTGGCTCATAGTTGCCGGAAAACTGCTACCAGTTGCGTCATGAGTGTGTTCCAAGTGGTGCTAAGCGATGGTCGGAAGTACAAGTAGCGGTCTGAACCGTTGCTGCCGTTCTGCGATTCGTACTTTGCCGTAGTGGTGCAGTGTGTATGATGCGTTGGGTTGCCATCATTCCATGCGCAGCCAAAACGAAGGGCTGGCACGGACCTGTGAAGGCCTCGCTACCATCCAAAACCTGGAAGTAGCAATGAAAAGCCCCCGATCTTTCGTGAGTCGGTCTTGACGCCGCCCTGCTTTAGGCTCATGGGCAAGCCGATGCAGACGGCGACGACCCCGGTTTATGAGCGGTGCTTAAAAGCTACAGTAAGTCGTATTTGCAGCCCACAACCCCTAGAATATCGTCGAGACGCCGAGGGTTTTTTGTTGTGAGAACTTATGCTTCGGTGATGGAACGCTTTCGCGCGCGAGCATGGGGGCTTCAGGGCTTGGCGTAGCTTTTCAAGGCTTTTGTGGTTGTGTTTCGGGGTGCCGGTTTTTTGAGGCAGTAGAGTTGCTCCCCGTGTTGCTCCTGAGCCAGTGCGGGCGCTTAAAGTCAAACTCGGAGTCGGGATGGCAGTGGATTGTCTGAAGGGCGCACAGCCTCCTGTCATTTGACCGGTTCTTCTGTCACCGTTGCTGGGAAAACCGCGGACCAACTCCGAGTAAGTATCCGGCATCCGACGCCCCCTGTCCAAAACTGTTGGGCGGTCCCGACACAGCCGAAGCCCAAAGTATCCAGTCCTGAAACGTCCTGACTCCAATTCCACAATGTGACAACAGCAACCCCCAAGGAGGCAGTGAATCTGAAGCCGCCTGGACCTTGGAAGACTGGCTCAGGTTTAGGGTCGTGGGAAGCTTGGTTTGGATTTGGGATTCAGGGTCATCGGAGCGCCAGACTCTGTGCAAGTTCATTCTTCGCCCAACCAAACAGCCTGCAGCCGTACTGGACCACTTGGGAGCCCACACGGAGGACGCAAGCGCAGTTCTCATTGGCTCATAGTTGCCGGAAAACTGCTACCAGTTGCGTCATGAGTGTGTTCCAAGTGGTGCTAAGCGATGGTCGGAAGTACAAGTAGCGGTCTGAACCGTTGCTGCCGTTCGGCGATTCGTCCTTAGCCGTAGTGCTGCAGTGTGTATGATGCGTTGCATGTGCAGCCAAAATGACGGCTGGAAGAGTCAATGAAAAGCCCCCGGTCTTGTGCTAGTCGGTCCTTTAGGCTCAACCGCAAGCCCCCTCGTAGATGGCCTCCCCAGGAAATCGAGGAAGCTTCTCTTCCGACAACTCTCGTGGCAGGAGCGCTCACATAACGTAAGTAAGTATTCGGTGCCCGGAAAGCTGGGGTAGCAAGCTCGCTGGATGAGGCTTCTTTGTTGCGACATAAAGCCTTCAAGCGCCTGATGAGGGGGCAGGTTCAGGAAAGTGGTTCCACTGCCATCGCCTGATGAGGGGCCGGGTTTAGTAGTTGTGATCAACCGCGATCGTCTCATCAGGGGACGGGAAAAAGCACTTGGAAAGTGATCCGCCGCCGTCGTCTTATGACGGGGCGGGTTCAAGAACTGGGGTCAATCGCCGCCGTCTAGTGAGGGGACGGGTTTCAGAAGTTGCAGATATGATCTACCTCTAGTAACGAAGGGGGCGGGTTTAACAAAGGGGATCAATCGCTGTCGTCGAATAAGGGACAAGTTCAACCAGCTGCAAATGTGTTCTACCGCCATCGTCTAATGAGGGTGCGGTTTCAAGAAATGGTGTCAAGCGTCATGAGCTCATGAGGGCGGGTCTATGAAATGGCGTCAACCCGTTGAGGCCATCGCCGAATCAGGGGGTGCATGGGATCAACCACAGACAAGGCCCCCTTAAATGTGTCACTGCCCATCGTTGAGTCCTTAATGTTTGTCAGCGCCTCCACTCAGAACCGCCAGGGCCACCGCCAGCATGGTGGGCCACGTGCCGCCCGTCAGTATTTGGGAGTTGTTTGCACCGGCGGCAGCAGCAGCAGCCACACCCGCCTTCTTGACTTTGTCCTCGTTTTCCTATGGGTGCAATGCATGAAATCACCGTTACGTTGCAGATTGACCTCGCTGTGGTAGTAGACATCATCGCAAGTATGGTGCGTTTCAAGGTGCGATGTACGTTGTTGATGCCCCGGGGCCCACACTGCTGCATGCGATTTCTTGGCTTTGTTCAATTGCCTTGAGTATGTATGACTTTGAGTACCACGGCTCCCAATTGTAAGCTGATGCGATGCCCACGTTGTCCATAGATTAATGCCTACGGCCTACGTCTACGTCCGCTGTGCATCGCCTGCACACAAGCCCAGGGAACTTCGGCTCATTGCCGAATGAAGGCGCCCGGTTCCAGGGCGCCCAGGGCGCACGCAACCGTGCGCCCTCTCCACACGGCGCTCCCGGGGAGAGGCGACGCCTGCTGCTTGTGCTAATCGCCGTGGTGCTGTAGCACTGTTGGTATTGCCAACATTTGCGTATTCCTACCCCTGATGTCGCTACCTTTCATGGAGGCATCGCTTCATCTGCTCATGTCGAGCACTGTCTTGATTGCGTGTCCTCTCCTCCGTCTATCATCTTTCCAAAGCCATACTGAGCCATCGTTCGTGCCGTTGCACTTTTACCAAAGAAGACACACACGCAAAACAAAGTTGCGAGAAACACCTGACTCACCCGACGGTCAGATTTGGGCTTGAGGGCAGGATGTAATTTAGGCATCCCGACGAAAACTGGACTTAACTGGCCATTCTGGGAAACGTTCTATTGCAAGCTGAGATGTTCGATTCCGCTGGGTTCGTTCATGTCCTGAGCATTGTTTAGCAAACTGTCGATCAAGGCAATAGCAAGGCTTCGCTGCTAAGGTAGATAATGGAAATCATCATGGTAGCCTTCCAGAGTATAGGCCTGACCGCAAGGGTGAAATGCAAGGCTGTAGCAGGTTGAGGGCTCAATAGTGCGGTCAAAGGCATGGCGCTGTGGAGAAAGCATGTGTGTGCGCATGTGTGTCTCCGTAGAACATCATCAGTAGTCAGTAGTATCCACGGCGACCAATGTGCTCAATCCAGACGTGTCTGCACGGTTCGATGACAACAGCTTCGCAGCGCTTTGTGTCTGGCAATATGTTCTCTACATATGTCTATGTGTCTGCAAAGTCTGGTAAGCACACAGGACTCATTTGTCGGTGTTTCCGTGTTTGGACGTCATGTGGCTGAATCCCTCAACGGGGAGGCAGGAGAACGAGCAAGGCAAGAAGCGAGGCGGGAAGGAACATGTGTGGTAATTAATGTGATTCCAACGAGGAGAGCATCAACGATAGAGTCAGCAGTGGCGGCGGCGGCGGCGGGGGGGGGGGAGGGGGCGGGGGAGGGGGCGGGGGGGTCGTCCGCCGAGGTGACAGGTTTTCTCTGGAGAGCCGGGACCCTGGAACCACTTCTACTGTACCACGGTCCGAGAAGTGAAACATAGCAGAAATGATGCACAGGTTTGTTGACAATCCCACGACGTTTGGACTGTGTCGGACTGTCCTGCATCTCGACGAAATCGTATTTTGTGGCTAGTGAGAGCGTGACGACTTATACTGACAGTGCTTTAGACATTGCAATTCCTGCGCCGTCTCTTGTGTCAAGGTTTTGTGCATCGAAATGCTTGTCCGCATAGCCCAGCATGAGTGATGCAGAGAACAGCCGAAGCCCTGCTCTGGAAATCTCTGGAAGCGTTTTCTCGGGTCAAGCTGCAGTGTGTCGCTTGGTATGTGCACTGCCCCACTTCTGGAGACCCTCAACTTGTGCAGTGTTGTACCTTCCGCTTTGCTACTTGTAGTGACGGGTGTCGAAGCTCGTCTACACAGACGAGTGTCCGCGCCAGACCCAGGTCATCAGACCGGTGCAGCGGTGTTTGGAGGCAAGTTTGGGCCGAGGCATGTCCTGGCACTGTCCGCAGTGCATCCTCGGTTGAGATGTTTCCTCCTGCCCAACTTTGATTTTATAAGATTCGGTTCTGGTTGAAGTGTCTCCGAGACCTGATCCAGAACGTGCTGACGACATTTTCCGACCTCCTTCGGCACCAAAGCGCAACCGCGGACACGTGTTGTCTTCCTCAGTCTTGACTTGGTATCGCTATGACACCTGCAGGCAGAGTGATGTGTAACTGCGCCTTACTCATGGACTTGTGTGGGCGTGCTCGTGCATATCCATGTTGTGCAGCCGTCGTGGTCTGAAACCAAAGAAGTCCAAAGGCCATCGTTTCTGGAGCCACTATATACGGCCATAGCATTGCATCTTCGGGGCTGCAATGCCTCAGTCACAAACTTTCCATTCACGCAGCAGGCTCTCTTTTCCGTCCCAGCCATCTGCTTTCAAGTTTTGAACTCACGAGTTTCCACTGCCGCCTTGTGCTCACATCGGTGGCGCATCAATCCCGTGAGTGAGACCTGACTTATCCTGACTTGCAGAAGCCGGCAGCCAGGGCAGCGTGAGACTGAATATGTGCATGGCTGCGGCCTCACGACCTCCTGTCTTAGAGAAGTCGTTTGGCAACAGCTGGGGGAGCGAAGGTCAACTAATCCTGGCCACTGCTATGGCTTCCGTGTTCACGACGGTCGCGTGCTTTCCAGTTTTGGCACTGAGATG